TGGTGAAGGATAAGAAATCTAGCATAAAACATTACAAATGTAAAACAACAAAAAAAGAAGAATATAGATAAATCAAGTCGTAGAAACCGTACAACAAGCAAACCTTCGTAAGGCGTATTTGGCGCCCCGTATATGATGTAATGCCACTCGAGAATGTTCTCCTGGAGAGGTGCTGCGCGAACGAATGGTACTGGCTCTTTCAACAACTTTGCATAATCTTTCTTCAATCTTGCTGTTGCCGTGACCGATGCCACCATGGATGAATCTACAAGCATTTCCATTAATTCAAACATCCGCATCCACCTCAATGTGTATTGCACAGAGCTTCACTGTGCTAAAGAAAAAAGTTCCTTCGATAGGGCTGAGAACAAAGTTTCTACAGCACATATTGCGCACAACTGCATAATAGAAGCAAACTCAGCATGAGCTCCTTGAGGGAACTAAGAGAAGCATCGCCTGGTTACCAATAGAAGGTATTCGCGCTGCAAATTATTCAAGCATAAATGCCTTACTAAGCTGTCCGGAAAGCTTTGCCCGTCTTTTAGTCAGAAAGTTCACAAAGTTGTTGTCAGTAAAAACTTCCAACGGAGAATTTAATGTTAGATGTTCTTCAAAAGTTTGATCAAACTCTTTGATACAATGCCTGATTGGATTTCATTTTTAACGCACAGGACTAGACTACACGTAGTACATAGATAAATTTGCGATTTTTTGAAAAATCAAATGAAACAACATCTGAGACCAGCAAAGAATGTCCCTATAATTTTATTGCACTTGGCTTATCCACTGAATGCACTTTACAATTGTTACAAAAAGCGCCGATCACCATGGATCAGAAGAGCTCTGCACCTCCTAAGAAACGGGTACTTGGTGGGCTTGAGACCTAGGTAGAAAGCAGTCAGGAATTTTTTGAACATCTCACATTCGGGTTGTTTGAGGGACTTCAGCCCTTTAAAAAGACTGACGATGAACCTTTGCGGTTTACCTTTTTGTAATGAGCCCTGTGAGGCCGCGTGCCTTTCCTCTTCGAGCATCGATTCCATCTTTGGATTTCCGGTATTGTTTTTAATGTGTCGACTATTCCGCAATTTCCGGTCATACTATGGTTAATCGAGGTTTACACTTGACACAGTAGTGTTTGAAAAATGTGTGGCGGCAAATTTGACTTCTTTGCGAACATCGCTAAGTATTTAAAGATACACACGCTAAGCTAAGATAGATACCAAAATCAAAAATGCTAACTCCCACACTACATGCAGCCAGTCTAGGATTGCAGCCAACCAGCAACTTCTACCTAAGAATCCAATAATTTCGCGCAAAGAGATATTAGGAACAAAACAGTGAGGGAGGAGTCCAATATTCCCCCCCCCCCCCCCCCCCCCCC